GAAAATGCACGGCTTCCTATCACAAAAGGCGTATGTTTTAAAGTTGTTCCTAAAAATGCTCCAAAGATTTTTTTTTATCTGTAAAAAGTATTTATATATACAATAAACAACAAGTAATATATATATTTATATGTATTTTTGTAGTAGTATTGTAGTGTCATTTATCCCTATTATCAGCTGCCTCTTGCGACACAATTAAAAATAAGCAAGTGTAGTGGGTTCATAATGCAGGTTTGTTTGAATTCTTTAATTCTCAGCCACCAGGGCGCGCCACTTTAGCGACACACTTTCCACAAGAGTAAGAGTCGTTTCTATATAAGCCTTGTTCTATGGATTGGACTACGGAAATCCCGAAAAATGGAGAATCTTCGAGAGCCCTTGCGCGCTAATATAAATACGGCAAGGCGACCGGAGTGAGTTAGTTAATCAGACAGTGAAATATTTAAAGCGATATACAGAGTGTGTTCGATTCGCGAGCTATAGTTTTGAGTTAGTGATTGTTATAGTTAGTATTTGGGAGTTCAATAAATTGTTGTGTTTTTTTTTATTGGTTTACTGGAATCATTCGAACCCCGGGAAACGTAACAGTATATTACGGTACAAGAGACGCGTGCATGACGTCAAATTTAAGTAGTGGCAGAACTTCGACTTTCATCTCTTGTACCGTAATATGCTATGATGTCATTGTGCTATTTGCTACCGATTCCCATAGGATGCCTTAAACTCGCACCTCTGGCCCGTTCAATTAATTCAAGTAAGGTGTGAAAAAGCAGCTGTTAATAGTTGTAACGTGCATACAAAAGGGCAGTACTGTATTCCAAACATAGTCGTAGAAAACGAAAAAATAAGCAAATTTTCCACACCCTGTATCTCACTTATTTATGACCGCCTGTATAAATATGTTGGAATATTTTATGTAAAAAGAATTTGACTTACAGTTGTCAGATTGTATGGATGACACTGAATTTGTCCTACTTCTCGTACGTAAACCAGCCTTTTTCAGAGTATTTTGCTCCAGTTCGGCCATATCATCAGATCTTTTCGGTGCTGCGAAATCGATTGGTGTTTTCTTGGATTTAACACCTAACATATTTATAAAACGATATATTTAGTACAGAACATTGTTGTTTTCCATAGCAATAACAAATACAATTATTCGGCTAACTAGGGGCATAATGAGCAAGTTATAACTGTGAGACATTTTATCTCATGATAAAATCAAGTATTTGTTTGTTTTAAATAAAATATACATTTCATTTGCTTGGGAATATACAATATAATGTTTCAATTTCAAAGTTAAATATTTAAAAAGCGGTCTGAGCGAAGATTTTTGCCCAGCTTTTGGAGACAGTTTAATTCACTATTAACTGTTGATAATAAATAAATAAAGAACATATTATCTGATGGTGTGCCTTGGTCGATCCAACACAAACCTCAGTATTAAATGACACAAAGACTATTTAATAACAAAAATGGCGTTAAAAAAAGATTCAAATAAATGCTCGATTTGATTTTCCGAAAGAAATTCTCCCCTAAATCAAAACGCTCAGTTTTTTAATTATTGCAATTAAATGTTAAAGCAAAATTATTGGCTATTATTTCTTTCATTTTTAAAGAAGAGCAGAAAAAATGGAAGTTTTGAAATCGTTAAAAAATAATACAATATAAGGCTTTTATCGAAACTATTTGCAGAATACTTAGTGATTTTTAGATAAAATAATATGACAATAATAATAAAAACATTGCAGGCAATTGCATAACCTTAAAAGTAAATATTTCCGTTGCACTTTTTAAAAGTCGGATGTTAACCACATTTATTCCACAAATGCATTTATAACAAATTTTTAAATATACGCTTACCCAGACTATGTAAGCAAAAAACAACACTATTTCTTTGAAGCATAATTATTTCGCTCACCTGAAGTTGAAGCTTTTTCAGCTCTAGTTGGCTTTGCTGTAGTTACTCCAACCAAATGTTGGGAAAGAACTGAACTGGCTCTGGTTTGCCTCGATGTTTCGGAACCAGTAGACGGGGAACGTTCGTAAACTTTTGCTTCATCTGGATCTTGCTTACCTGAAAAAAAACATCAAATATAAAATTTCTGATGACTGAACTCGAGATAAGTCTATTTTTCCGGGGAAACACAAACACTAAAACTGTTTTACGCACAACACACCTTTAAATTCGGGTTTATCCAAAAGTTGCACTGGATCAATTTCTTCCATAATAGGCATATTACCAATTTCATCTTCCACACTCATAGACTCGAGCATACTCGCCTGTCGTCTCGTAAGTCTTCTGGACATGCTATAAGTGCTGATGTGGCTGTCAGCCTTAGACTGACCTTTACGAGCTATAAAGTGCATGAAATAAAAGAGCATTTCGATAATTGTACGTACTTTCCTGACTGTGTTTCAATTCCAAAATTAAAATCAAATCCTGGGTTCTTTTTCTTGTATTTTCTAAAAAATACATGCCAAGGCGTAAAGTAGCAACAACGCTACACATTAAAACTGATGATGGTGGAAAACACCGAAACGTTTTTTTAAATTGATAAATGAACAATAAATAAATGACTGAAGAACCCAGGATTTGATTTTAATTTTGGCATTTCGATAATGCAAACCACTCAAAAATGTTACTTACCTGTTCCACTTGGAACATCCTTTGATGTAGATGCGCCTTCATTTATAGGAGGATCTTCATTAGAATCGGCCGGAAGTGTATCCTTTTGTTCTGTCAAGTCATGGCTTCTGAAAAAACGCTTTTACTTTGAATCGTCAAAAAACAAAATCAAACTCTCAAATAATTTTGAAATCATATTTAGTCTAATAAGCATATAATTATATTTATATGCTTATTAGACGCATAATAACGTGTAACATTATCAAAACAGTAAAATACTATTTTCTAGTCACATACTTGAATTTATATTGCAATTATTATTCTGATTTATTTTCCTGACTGCGTGTACTTGTTATTATATTATCTTTCCTGGGACTCAGTCAAAGGGTGAAGTAAAAAATTTTGAATATCGTTTATTTTATTACGTTTCGGCGGGACAACAGCGCCATCATCAGATTTAAAATTTACACAAACTACAAACACCAATTTACAATTAAAACATGTTGTATAACAACTATAATTTATAAAGCGTTAAAACATGCATCAGTGTCTGAGGGAAAAATTATTCCTTTTGGGAGAGCAAAACATTTGAAAAACTTACCTCATGATTGATAAATATTAACGTTCTTTAGGTCTATGGCTTCTTGAAACCTTAAATTTGTCTGAATTATTTTCTACATTTGCGAGAATGGTATGTATGTATTGAGATAAGCAGAAATAGTTTTAATTTTTCACTAGTGTACTGGGTGTTCTATACTTATGGCTTTATTACAGTTTGGTAAATGTTGCTAAGATTGTCGGTATCTGATCTGAAATTTACTGCTTTTGCAAGTTTTTTTATTTGTATCATTTTTTGGATTCTTCTTTTATGATAATTTGCTTTCCTAACTAATATATCTGCGTTGTTAAAATCAAAATTATGTAACATTTGGTTTGCATGTTGTGTTAATGCTGTTTTATTTTCACTAGTATTTCTCAGAATATATTTATGTTAGTGCATTCTCTTTTTAAATATTGTTTAGTTTGTCCTATATATGTATTATCACATTCTAAACAATTCACTCTATATACAGTATTTGGTATATCCATTTTGTCAGTTTTTGGTTTTAGTTTTGGGAAACATTCATTTGATAAGTTGTTTTTTGTTTTTTCCGCAATTATATGTTGTGTGGCTTTAGTATTATTGATATTTGTTTATTGATTTCTGGAATACATATATGGTAGTGATATATACAGGGTGATTCAAAATTGGCGTCATTCCTCTGGAGGTTTTGTCTGGCGCTGTTATAGGAGTACAGAAAAAATAGTAAAAAAAATTAATTGTTTATAAAAACTGAGAAATTTCCAAAAAACTATATCAGAAATACGGCAGCAATGTTTTTCAAGGTAATCTGCCTAATTAACATTGAGCAAATACCTGTTGCTTCGTAATTATTAAAAACTCCGGTAACCATGGAATTATACAGAGTCACAATAAGATAGACAAGGATAAACGGTAAATTCAATAATATTCGTTGACTGCGCAACGTACTTTCGAAATGTCAACCTGTTCTCATAACCTCGAATTCTGCGGGGTTTGGTGTTTACATAAATAATCCATACAACACCAAACATTTCAATGGTTAACTGTAAACAAGCTAGTGCCTGTGTAATCTCCTTATTATCCACTCTTATCAAGCAGCTTCTCGTATTCAGTTAATTAACTCGTGCTCCATTTGTATCTCCTTGTGCTGTGTGTATCGTACAAACGGGGTAGGAATGTAGCCCTTCCTCGGTATTTATTTGGTGCCTGAGTGCCCCTGGAAGGCCCGGATTCGGTTATGTCCAATACGCGTTCCTCTGTGTCTGGAACCCGAACATCGATTGTCGTCCACTATCTTCCTGGAGCGACTCTCTCCGCCCTTTGCTGGCGTGAGTTCTTTCAGCTTCTGCTATGTTACTGTAGCATTTCCCCTGAACTAAGCGCAATTCCGCAAATTCGGGAAAGGAAATTCAAAGTAAGTCACAGTTTGACAAATTATTGTTATTATTGACAAGGGTTATCCACCTGTAACTATCTGTTAATGACAGAAAACATCATTGCCGCTGTG